GCGACAACGCGTCCGCGACGACATTCAACCTTCCGGGTTTGTACTCGGCCGGGAAGTTGTATTCCGCGAAGAAGGACAATCATCTCGCTATTCGTTGCGAGATGTGCGGAGACTGCACAGCCGTCCGTAACGACGCGTGGTCGTATAGACCATAAACGGCGTGTTGCCGAGTAAATACACTCGGAACTTCGCGAGTGCGTACTTCATGGCAAGGAGTTCCTTGTCATGTACCGGGTAGTTTCGCTCATCTGGCTACAGCTGACGCGACTGGTAGTAGACGGCTCGATCACGGCCCTCGTGATCGAGTTGCATTAACGCACATCCGATCGCAAAATCGGATGCGTCACACACTACGTGAAAGGGACGATCTTGGTCAGCCACAGCCAAGATCGGCGCTTCAGTCAAGCCCAGCTTGACTGCATCGAACGCCTGCTGACACTCAGCAGTCCATTCCCACGCAGCTTCCTTCTTTAGAAGCTGCGATAGCGGGCGAATCTTGCCTGCGTGGTTGTCCACGTACTTGCACAAGTAGGTGGCAAGGCCAAGAAACTGCCGCAGTTCTTTCATGTTGGATGGCGTAGGCCATTCATTGATCACTCTGACCTTCTCGGGGTCAGGGCGTACGCCATTCTTCCCAACGAGACACCTCAGCACGGGTATCTCGCTCGCGCCGAAGATGCTCTTCTTCAGGTTCGCATAGAGCTTGTGCTTGCGCATGAGCCCAAGCAGTTCCCGGAGGTGCTCCTTGTGCATATCGACGTCCGTCTTCTCCTTCACAGACCGGCTGTGGACCTGTGAACGTACACATCGTCGAAGTAGCTCGGTGCGAAGTCGCGCATCAAACGCAATAGATGCGTCACGCATCCATTGAAGGTTGCAGGGGCGTTCTTCTGTCCTTGCAGCATAACTAGCCACTCCCAAAGCACACCGCTTGTGGTGCTTACCGCCGTGAGAGGGATATTGCTCTCACGCATAAGGATCTGACAGAACCCGTCTCTCAGATCAAGAGCACCGTAGACACTGTAGATGGTGCTCTTGGACATCGAATCGATGATAACATCTTTTTGAGGTATCGGCGTCTGCGCCGGTATCGTCGCATCGTATCAATTTGTTGTACGCATGAACGATGCGCCAACCACCGCCAGCCACCCTGTGGCTTCTTGACACAGAACGTTGGTGCGCTATGCGGAGACTTTGATTCTCGCACTTGTCCTGCCTTGCGACGACGTTCGAAGAAGTCGTCGATCGCCTTCACTTGCTCCCGCGGTAGTGGCGGCTGCCGCGTCACGCAATACTTCGTCCCCGGCACGAGATCAATCTCGTGCTGTATTCCCTTGTCCTGCGGAAGCTCCGCAGCGATCTCATCCGGGAGCCATCTCTGTGCTCTCGCAGAATCTCGTAATAGACTTCAGTGAGTCCCAACTCTGCTCCTCGAAGCGTTCCTTCTTCGTCTTGGCACTGAGAGTATCTTCACTCTCCGTGGCGCTTCCAGCGAAGAGTTGTCCCAACTCCTCTGCTTTGCTTGTCATTCTTTCGCGGTCCGAAAGAATGCATAGCTGTTCGATGCGTCCATCGTACAGGTCCTTTGCGAAGCGCTTCCAGCCCATGACTGGAAGCGAGGTCGACTCCGACGTATCAGTCGGAGGGTTCGCCCACTCCATCTTCCTGTACTGGTACCCAGCACAGACCCGCGTCAAGACGTTCAACGTACTGTCGGCTCTTGTGTCGGCCCGGCAGACATACGTTGAAGAGTCTCGGTCCCGGATCGAGACTTGCGCAGCGTCTTGTGCTTGCGCCGTCGCTTTGTCTTGTGAATCCCATATTCTCTTGCGTTTCGTCCAGGCCCGGCCATGGACGAATATTCCTTGATACCGCCGGCGGGTTCTTGTACCCGCGGGCACGGGTCATCAAGCCTGGCTTGATCGCGCCCTGCTTCGTACAGCCCGGCTGCACGACAGCACGCAAGCTTTAGTGCTGGACGTTTGCAACCGTCCACACAGCTTGTCGCATCGACTCCCGGAGTCGATGCATTGACGTCACCTCTACGCCTTACGGCGGAGCAGTGTGTCGCAACTCCCAGAGCTGACACATCGTTATCACATCGACGCCTCACGACGGAGAACTTTCTCGATTCTGATATCGAGCGCGTGTCAACTCCCGGTGTCGACACGCTGTTGTCACCTCGACGCCTCACGGCGGAGAATTTCTTGGAAGTGTCTGGTCAGGGACCAGACACTCTTTTACTGTCAACGACTCCTGGATCGTTACAGCTCGCGCGCTCCACGCGCTGCGGCCGGAGACGGCGGCGCGAGCCTCGTCCATCGGGTCGGTCACGACATTCGAGACCAAGTACCGAGCCCGTTGGGCGTAAGCATGTACATCATGCTTACCATGTTGCAGGTCGAGAAACTCCGCTCCCAACCGGAAATCGTTCTGTGGGGGTTCAAACGCGAGTTTGAGCTCCTCCTTGAAGGACTCGTACGTGCTGAAGCACGTAGGATCAGTGAGTCGGCGCCCATAGGCCCAACTCCTCGCGCGTCCGCCAAGACAAGACATGACGAAGGTGACTTTCGCCAATGGGTCGACGAGACGTCGAGCCATTACGGTAGTGT